TCTGGGCGGTGGCGGGGGGGTCGTGAGGACCCGCGCCCGTGTCCTGGGGTGCGGGGTCCCCGCCAGGTTCACGTGCGGAAACTGCACTAAAAGTCCTGATGGGAGAGAGAGAAAAAGCCAGGCAGGAAGCTGCTGGCCGGGGGTGTGTGTGAGCTGTCAGAGCAGACACAAAAGGGGTCAAATCCAGCCCGGGACCTGCTCCCTGCGAGCTCTGAAAGCGGCTGCCGGGGAGCGGGGCTGGGCGGGCACTGGGATGCACCCGAACCAAGCTGGGCACAACTGGATCTCTCTCCCTGTGCTGGCTTTGGCCCTAGAGCGTGGCTGGGCCCAAGTTTTGGAGAATATATCCTCTTGTTCTCTTCCCCCCTGCTCTTCCAGCTGGATGCTGCAGGCTCTGCTTCCCAGCTGTTCGCCTTGCACTTGGTGCTGGGACAGGGGCAGCTCGTTCCTCTGGGTTTCCTTCCATTCACTTCCCTCTCCAGGTGGGAAATGGTGAAAAGTTAATGCAGGGACCTTGTGCACAGGAACTTGTGCCCAGCCTGGGTGAGGAGGAGCTACTGTGAGATCGAGTGTGGATGGTTTTTAAAAGCAGTTTAGGAATCTGTGAAATGTGTCAGGAAAAAAAGGGTTTTCTGTGAACCCCAGCAGAGCTGAACCAGATTTGCCTCCTTTGGGCCCCCCTTTAGCAGCGTGCAAAGCTGGGGGGCAGCAGAGTGGTCTCCAGGACACTCTCAGTTTCCCCAAGCTCCAGGAGCCAAATTCCACATCAGGACAATATCCCTGTCCTGTCTCAGTGAGCAATTGCACAACTGGAGCTTGGAATTCTTGTTCCCATCTCTTCCTTTCTTTTTTTTTCTTTTCGGTGGTGGTTTTGGTTTTGTTGGGTGTTTTTTTGGTGAGCAATGAATGGACAGGGCCTGGGTTTGTCTTTCCTGCTCGTGACATTTTGCTGAGGAGCCATTATTGCTTGGGCAGTGTCCAGGGTTTCTGTCACGCACCGTGGAGCCTGGGAATTTTTACTTGCTTGATTCCCCCTCCAGTGCTTTGCAAATGAGCCCAGCTAATCTGGTAATGCCTGTGAAATGACTGGGGAAACTGGAGGGGTTTGGCCCAAGTTAATGTGTCATGGGCAGGGTTGGGTTGGTTGTGCTTGGTCCTGTTTCCCAGCCTGAGATGAAACCCATTTCCTGGAGTTTGTTCCTTGGCACCTCTGGAGATGGGCCTGGAACCATCACAGCCTCCTCCCATCCAGGGGGACGGGCACGTTGCAAATTATAAACCCTTGAAATAGCCACAGGTAGTTTGCAGAGAAGCCTCAGAGAGAGGAGGTGATTGTCTGTGTGGAGTATGAGGGGTATAATTAATTTTTGGAGGAATTAACAGAAAACAGGAGAAGACAGAAAGCCTGTTGGCTGATGGGTTTATTTTTATCCTTCCTTCCCTTGATGGAGAGGAAGAGGAGGGGGAACAGGGGCAGTGGGTGAGGGGCTTTCCTCGTGGGAAGCAAACCCATGTGAAGATGCTGGAGGCAAATCCATCTCCAGAAGGAAAAGCTTCCCCTTGGGTTCAACTCTGTTCACTCCCACCTCCCTTCTTTCCCTTCCCAGCAGGACATCTCCTCTGTGTCCCCTCCTCTGTGTCCCCTCCTCTGTGTCCCCTCCTCTGTACCCTGGCTCAGCTGCAGGCACTGGCAGCTCTGTAGCACTTTGCTTGGAGTTGGGCAGGGACAGGACACTCACACATTATTTTTATTTCCCTTTTAATTCTTTTTGCCCATTCCCAAGGAGCTTTTGCCCCACGGTGTGATGGGAGGTGGGAAGTTGTTGTTTTGTGCTGCAGCCCCAACTGTGAAACCTTCAGAGCTGCCAGCAGCTCTGCTCTGCTTGCCCAAAATACCAGGACCCAGCAACCTGGATGAGGATGCTGCCACCCTGCATGGGGTCCTGAGCACCCAGGGGTGCCCTGAGTGGGCCATGCTGGGCAGGAGTAGGTGCCACCATCACTTGGGTACCACTTAATGGGACTTAGTCCAGCCTTGGCATGGGGGCAGAAGCAAAGGCAACCCCCTCCAAAGTCAAAGTGAAAGGTCTTTCCTTGTCTTAGCACTGATTTTAATGAAACTACTTGCAGATTTGCAAGCAGACATCCTGGAAGTGGAAAAAAGACCCCTAAAGGAAATTATTTCATTTTTTTTCCACCCCAGATAGAGACTTTTTTGCACCAAAAGCTTCATTTCTGCTTTGCTTCCTAAGTTCCGGTTTTACTGATGAACATGCTTCCATCTTTCATGCTCTCTGAACAACAACAGCAAAACCCTGGAAGAAACCAAACCTTAAAAAAAGGCAGAGTTTTGCCTTTTTTTTTTTTTTGCCTTTTTTTTCTTTTTTTCCCCAAATGTTTCTGGTTTTGAGCAAAACAAAGGCAGCCCTGGGGGCTGTGCTGCCCGCCGCCCCGGCGTCCCGCTCCTGCTCCAGCTCCTGATTGAATTTCCTTGGAAAGCTCCTGCTGGAGTCTATTAGTTGCAGAAACCCAAGCTGTCCTCTGGGCATTTTCTGTAGTTTTTCTGATTTTATTTATTTATTTATTTTCCCCAGAGCTCCTCCTTCCTCAGGCCCTGCCCTGAGCAGCCTCCCACGGGACGGGCACCGGCAGCCTGAGCAGGATGGGGCCACGTTGGACCCTCCTGGTGCCACCAGCCCCTTCTCATGTCCCCCCTTGGTGCTGTGCTCAGACTGTTCCAGTGGAAATGAGCTAGTGTGTGGCAGCAGCAATGAGATAATTGGGGTATTTATTGCTCCAAATCCCTGTCTTCAGGTTTTGGCCATGACAGTTGCATGCACACAAGTTTTCACCCATCTCTGATCTTTGCCAGCCCCGTTGGGCTTGGTATGAAGGTTTTTTCCCCTCCCTCCAGTGCTGTCCTGATGTTTTTCCACTGGTGCATCCCCAACTCTGCAACAGGATGTGTAGATGTGGTGCTTGGGAACGTGGTTTAAGCATTGGACATAAGTTGGGTTCATGGTTGGACTCAATGACCTTAAAGGTCCTTACCAACAAGAATGATTCAGTGATTCTGGGGTGGATCAGGGAGCAGGCAATAGCTTTGGGAAGTTCTTTCACCCCAACCTATCCTCTCCCAGGGTGCTACCCATGGGAAGCACCTTACCTGGCCACATTCAGGCTCCTTTGAAGCTGCTTTGGGGTCTGAGCTTAGAAGAAACCCTAATCTGTCAAGTGCACAAGCCTGAGGGACAGTTGAGCACCAGGACTGCAAAGTTTTAAGCTTCATCACCACAGGATGTTGCTTTGGACAATTCCCTTTTATGTGCCTCAGTTTCTCTGTTGGGCCAAGCAGAGATAAGCTTCTGTTTCATGTCAACTTAGAGCTGTGGCTGTTCTAATGTAAAATGCATGGAGATGGGATAATGTATGATGGGCACTGGCTTAAAACCATAGGCTGGGTAGAGCTCAGGATGAAAGTACCTCATAAGTGCAAATTATTATTCTTGTTAATAATGATGTCCACCAGCTTGCATTTATCTGCTCTTCAATTAACTTTTTTTAAGGACTCTTGGCAGGTTAGAAAGACACAAATTTTCCCTGGCAGAACCTGTGCTGGTTTGACCCTGTAAGGTTACACAATTACTGTACTGGCATGGTCCTTAATTAGACTCTCCATAATTTCCCCCAGCACAGTGTGGTGGCTTCTTGCTCTGTAATTCCCAGAATCTCCTTGGATCTGATAGGCATCATGTTAACCACTTTCCAGGCTTCAAGGATAATTGTTTATTATCCTGGATGTTGCAAGACCTCCTCCTGCACCCTTCTTTTATGTCCTCCTGGCCAGCACGGAGGGTCTGTCTGCCCCAGGGAGCACTGGGCAGCTCAATGCTCCTCCAAGTCCATGGAAAGTGACTCAACCCCACGTTGGGTCTTTGACTCTTTGATTTTCCCCATCATTTTTCTCCACTCCTTGGCCCTGCAGTATGTTTGGGATGTTCTGTGTTGCTCTTTTTTAGGCTTAGAGAGACTTCTTCCCTTCCACCTGCAGTCCTGAATGCTGCCTTTATAGATACATATATATATATATACACACACATATATAATATATTTTTTTATTACATAAGGAATAGTTCCTGGTCGTTCTGCAAGGACAGAGGTGCATGTAGTTGCAGTGATTTTATTTCTTATCTTGCCTGAAACCCCTTCTCAAGGGTTATCCCCCACCATCCTGCTGTCCTTGCTCTCAGGTAGGAGCAATTCCTCCATCAGGGTTGGGCTCTTCCTCCTGCAGGAGCTGGTTGGGTCAACGAGACCCTTCAGGTGATGGGATTTGTTGGGACACCTTCACACTGGGTCTGCATCCCCAACCTGGAATCAGGGTTTTGTTGCCAAAGGAGCTTTTAAGCCAAGGTCAAACTGTGAACACGGACAGACTGGATGGATGCTGTTCCTGGCCTGTCTGGAGGGCCCAAAATTCCTCTTCCTACCCACCCAATGGCTATAAATAACAAATAATAACAACTCCCAGGCTGGCAAGCTATTTGGGGTTTTGTGGGTTTCTTTGCTTTGTTTTGCTTTTTTGCATTTAGGAAGCAAGTGACTTTTCATAGAAACCAATATTTTCTTGACTGGATTCCTCATTGTCCCAGAATTGTTTATCCCAAGCATTGCCCAGGTGAGCAGAGACACACGGGGGCAAATCCTTTCTGAGAAGGAAGCAAAGCTCTGCTGGATGTGTCCCATGCTCAGGAGTTCTGGACACTTCTTCTGCTTCCCCTCCTTTCCCTGAATATGACAGAATCTGAAATGCTTTGGTGCATTAATTTCAGACTGAGTGTAAATAAGCTGTTTGGATTTTTCCCACTTGAGCAAACTTCCAAACCAGAATTTTGCTTTCCTCTCCTCCTGCCTGGCTCGTGGGACTGGAGGGATTTGCTTCAGTGCCATCTCTTCTGCACTTGAAACTGCTTAATCAAGCTCTAAAACATCCCTTGATGAGGTCAGACAAACACCTGATTGGGCCAGGAGCACGTACAGGAAAACCAGGAGAGATTACAGGAGGGTTTTATCTGCACAAAACAGATTAGAAAGCTCCCAAACTAAATATTGGTGGAAGGTAGCGTGTTGTTCGTGGCAAGTGCCTCACTAGACTGTCTCTGTTTGTGTCTCCTTACAACATTTGCTTGTCCCTGACCAGCCATTCCTGAGGGATTAAAGAGAGACAGAAAGAAGGATGGGAGACTCCTGAACATCTCCACGTCAGCAGAAGACATAGCCCAGAGTACTGGATTTAGATTAGATATTGGGAAGAGATTCTTCCCTGTGAGGGTGAGGAGATGCTGAAGAAAGCTGAGCAGGAGCTGTAGGACAACCTGGGTGGGTCTGACCCAAAAGCTTTCCATCTCCCCACATCCTCTGGGCACCACAACCAGCTGCAGAGCAGGAAACCCGCAGGTCCCCTGAGTGGTAAGATGCTGCAGCTCTTGTTTGTGTTCACACCAGCTGCTGATCCCTTTGGTTTGTCCAGTTTTTTGGGAATGGGTCAGCTCAGTCCTGCAAGCTCATCAGGAATTAAGCAAAGCACAAACACTTTTCCCTCTAAACAGAACTGCTGGATGCCCCAGAAGCTCCTGCAGACACTGGGCTGTACAAAGTGGGTTGGGGCTCCCAGAGGGACATTTTGTACATTTGACTTTGCTACAAGATACTTAGTTAAAGCCACTGAAACCTCACAGCTGCTTTGTACCTTTCTTCTCCTCCCTCCTCTCCTCTCAGCTCCTGGGGTGCTTTGGTGGACTTTGGAGTTCAGTGATGTCTTGGGGCTTTTTTGATGGGTGGATTTGGACTTTGTAAATGGAGAAAACAGTCAGAAAACCTGACTTATGTGAATCTCCTGGGCTTGGCAACCAGGAGGCAAAGAAAGTAGTTCCACAGCTATTGGATTTCCTAATCTTTTGTACCTTATGGCAGCACTGTGATTTACTGAAGCCTGGCTTAGTATTTTTAAATGCCTTATTATCTCTGGTCTCACAAAGAAGTCATGTTGAGTTGCTCTCCCTGTGCCATGATACCTTTGTTTCTCCCTTGTGTTTTACAAAAGGTGGTGCAGAACAGGAGTGCAGAGACCTGGGCTCTTGTCCCAGGCTGTTTCTCCACTGTGTGATGAGCATTTGCCCCATCCAGGAAGAGGCAGCTGCCACAGGGGTGCAGGCAAGGAAAGGGATGGATGTCCCATCCCAAGAGCTAGTTATCCTTAGAGCTTCATCTACGTTTTGCATGGATTGGTTGGTTTTAAACCCCACAGATTGAGGTCAAGCCTGGTCTTGTTCTGGCGGCAGGGGAGGGAGGAAGCTGGTCCCTGCCCTGCTGGCAGCTGGGAGAGGTGGCCCTGGTGGCCTCACCTTGCTGAGGGCTTGGAGCTGCTCCTCCCTGTTC